GTCCTGACCTTCCAATTCAGCAGTTTAGAGACATTACTGAAAACATTTCAATGTATATTGTTCATTACTGCCCTGCATTCCCTCATTTCTTCTGCCTTCACTATTACTGTCACATCTCAGGCCAAACACAGGTCTAGCCCCCCAAACCCATTCCTTTTGCTACATTTCACGTCTACATAAAGGAAGAGCCAGTAGTACAGTTATCCCTTTTTCCTCTGGATTGGGCACCATCTAGACCAGAAGTCAACACATGGAAACAAGCACGATCTGACGCTTTCCTTTTCAGCAGGTGGAAGGGGAAGAATAAAGTGGAGAAAATTCTGAGCATGTGCTGATGTGTGACTGGGCAAGCCAACAGTGGCCACTAGCATTTCCTGACGGTGGGAAGAGAGTGGGCTCTGACTCCCTGAATAGTGTAGGACAAGGGCTGCCCAATCTAATATCACAGCATCAAACACTGGGGGGCATCGTGCAGAGAATCTGGGTTGGACCCTTGCTCTGCAATTTCTCAGCTGAGTGCTCATGGGCAACGTCAGTGCTCTGGGCAGGACTGTTTTGAGCAAGGAATAAGGTGGTGAGCAAGAAACATTCTACTCACCCCTCCCCCAGATTTCTCAGAACTGTGCTTTAGCTCCCCAGCCCACAGTCAGAGCCCTGGTCTGCATCCCAACCACTAAACCCAGAATTACAACATCTTCCTGCTTCCCTGCTTTCAACTTCTTCTCTGTAAAAATGTCCTACATACAGTAGTAATTAATAAGTCTGCTCTTCCAGTCCTACTTGAGCTTTAATATCTGCCACATTTTCCACCCCAACACTCTAAAAACAGGCATTTTCTGCTTTCCCTCAATCAATATAGTAGCTAAACAAGAAGAGTACTGACAATAACTCTAGAGTTGTTGGGGGGTGGGGGGTTATGAGCATGTGCCCATGTAATGTTTGTTTTCGTGGGAGCTTTCTGGACAAAACTGGAAGGAAGACTTTGATCTCCTTGCCTCTCTCTGGACTGTCATAAATTACCAGTATTTCTTTTACTTAAACTGCTTGTAAGGACAAAAAATTCAGAAAGACATAGATAGGCCGCTTGAGTAAATATAAATATATTAATTAGAATTCTTCACATATAGGTACCCTTACACCCCAAAGTATGCAGCAATGACATTTTTTCATTCTTAAGACTGGAAATGCTTTCAAATTAAAATTTAAAAATGTGGACTGTAAAGCTTTTTGCCAACTGGGCTCTGTGCCGCTTCCCATCAATTCTGTCTGTGCCTGCGTGTGCATTTGTGTGCGCGCCTGGGGGTGGGGGCCCTGTCCTGCCTCGAGATGGGAGCCTGTAGCAGACAACCAGGAGGTGGAGGGAGGCCGCATCCACAGGAGCCCATGCGCCATCCGCATGCTGCCTCGGCACTGTGATTCTGGCTGTGCCTACATCCCCTACAAGTAGCTTCTGTCCTGCAGCTCCTCCTCACAGCCGCAGCTCCTGTTACCAGGCTCCAGAACCAGTTTCCTTCCTGTGCCCTTTCGGGAGTGGTAACACTGCCCAAAACCGCTCGTCCCCGGATGCAGCAACATTTCTGTGCATTCCCTCCACCCTGACCACCCTTCCTTAAACACTTACTTTGTTAAATTATGTTCGGAGCCTCATCTGAGTGTGCTTTGACTTCACTGACAGTCTCTCCTCACTTAACCTCAGATCACACTATCCCCAGCTCAGTGACATTTACGCTAAGAAAGTCTCATGCCTTCATAGACAAACTATCTGCATTGGCTCCAGACTTCCCACATATCATTCCCAACTTTGCCAAAGATAGTCATCTAATGTCTCTATCCATTTGTTTAAAATCTACTTTTGGTTCAACAGCTCTAAAAGCTTTCTTAGATTTATTCAACACTGTGCTACCACCACATACTAGCTTGAAAGAAATTATGTCAATTTTTTCCTTTGTAACCTGGCAGGAAACCAGTGTTCTGTATGTAATAAGTACTAACTGGCTCTTACTTGGCTTAAGGGAAATTCATTCTTTCTTTCCAAGACAGTGATCAACCACCAGTGATTGAAAGAACCTACCATCTCTAACTGTGTCACCTTGCAGCCACTGATGTGAGTTCTAAAGACCCTCAATCCTTCCAGCTACAGAATGGTCAGAACAACAAAACTGATCATATCAATGTGCACAAGGGGTAATCAAAGTTCTTCTTCTAACACTAGGAAAGGAGAAAGAGAAGGAATTAAGGCGGGGGGGGGGGGACCTCGATAAAAGAAAAAGAAAATAAATAAATATTCCCTGTGTTCTCTCCCTTGAACTGTTTCATACACATCAGCAGATGATTTATTATTGGCTTCCTAAGAGTAGACAAGAACTACAAAGAAAACGCCTCAGTCTGTTGTTTATTTGCCTTAGTATAAAATGGAAAAGTAAATAAAATAACATTCCACAATCTTTGTTGTCTAATATAAAGCTAATAACTGGCTCTTAGCTACTTTAAACAAAGCTGCAATCACTCATTATGCAATAAATTCTCTTAACTGATTTAAAATGTTTGGCCCAATGAGAAGAGTGTAAAACAGATGTAATATTAAAGTCTCTAATTATGAATGGTAATTCCCTGATAAGACTCCTCAACAGTGCCAACAATTAATTTACTAACATAAATTTTAAATATGAATTCAAATTTTGGCAAAAAATGAAAGTACATGAGGTCGTCTCAGCAAGTCCTCCATTTAACATCTTCCTATTCACCAGAAAAAAGAGAGAAGTCTATATCTAAAAAATCTACTGGATGCTTCTGGTTGCAAATAAAAGAAGACCAAATATGAAGTGCCTTAAATAACTCAAACATGTGTTAGGTCTTTGAGTAAGAAATCCTGAAGTAGAAGAGTCCAGGGCTGGACCAGAAACTCAGTGTACCGTTCTCATGAATATAAAGGGACTGCCAGAGCTCCGAACACTGTACCTGTACATGGCAGCATCCAAAGCACTTCCTGCTTGGAAGAGAAGGATGGGAGATGACTTTTTGTCCTAAGGCAGTTTCTTGTCACATACTGACAAAAGAGTGAGGCGCATCACTCACTCACATAAAGCGTGATATATTCCCCTGTGACTAGGCCAAAAAAATGTTAGGAAGAAACAAGATAAATAAGCTGTTGTATAGGCAAGCACCAAGTGCAGCATTCAGAGAAATTCCTGCACAAGCCATTTAAGCCAAATATTTGCTACAAATTCAGAGGAAAAGAGTCAAGTTTGGAAGAGCTTTAGGTAAGAAATCCTATACTCAAATACCTTACAGGAACCAAGCAGGAAATGTGAATGAAGCAGGCAGGCTGGGCGGGAGCTGTGGGGCTCTGAAGAATGTGTGGCCTCCAGTTCTTGATCTTATCAAGTTAAATAGCAGCATACTACAGTAAAGCTTAAAAAGAAACAGATATTCTTTCTCTAACCTTCACAAAAACACGTAGAAGCCTAGCTTCAGACTCACATAACAGAAATTATGACCTGAACCTCTTATGATGTGCCAGGTATTGTTTACAGTGCCTTAAGCATCTTATTTCACTTTTTTAAATAAAATGCCATATATTAGGTACCATCATTATCCTCACTTTTACAACTGAGGACAGTGAACCTTGGAAATGAAAGCAATTTCCTACAACCACATAACTACTAGGTGGTGAAGCAGGGGAACACTGTACACAGGACCCCAAATGACTGCCAGGATCTGGGGTTCAGAGACGCCGAACACAGCTGATGAAATGAGCGTTCTTGCCCTGGTTCCCAGACTCACTTGGGAGGAAGCTTCTGGTTAACAAATATGGCTTGATGGCCAGCTATTTCCTAAAGCAACCCCATTCACCTGACTTTTCTCAGCCATCTCTGCCTGATTCCTACACAGAAAATATATATTATTAAAAAAAAAGAAAGAAAGAAAAAAGAAAAAAGGAAGCACTAAAGCCCAGGGCTTAAATATTTCTGTAGAGGGTGAGAATTAACTAGTAGCATAATTCTAAGATGCGTTGAATTCTTTGGATTTTAAAACAAGTCTCCCAAAATCTAACAATGAATGCTGTTCCCTTACATGGCACCCTAAACTTGTGAGAGTAGGGAGAGACAGGGTATGGGTGCACTAGTGTAAACACGTCATTTACCCACCTCTGTATAAAAGACCTGCGAATGGCAGATATTGGATATAAAAAAGTCTGTCCTGGAGTACTTTGCAATATACAAGACAATATGACAAAGAACAGCATCTACAGACTCTCTGCTCTTACTGTTCCATTTCATCATAATCCAGAAATAAAAAAAATCATTATTAACCTACTCTGCAACAATCTTCTATTTGTTTACTGTTTTCTCTTTTACAAAGTAAGCTCCTGGATCTCAGTACTTGGTACTCTGGCATATAAAGATGAATAAGAAACATTTGCGGAATTAATAGCAAACAGGAAATTCTGTTGTTCTCTCTAGTTTCTGCAGTGATACATTCCAGTCATATAAGATGTTCTGAGATATATAAAACACATTGATATGAGTGAGCTCTTCAAATTCTTTCTCTTCAAGCCCTGGCCAGGTAGTCAGTTGGTTAGAGCATTATCCAAATACAACCAAGACTGTGGGTTTGATCCCCATCAGGGTACATACAAGAATCAACCAATGAATGCATAAATAAGTGGAACAACAAGCTGATGTTTGTCTTTCTCTCTCTCTCTAAAATCAAATTAAATTTCTTTTTAAATTTCTCTTCTATAGTACTATTCATCTTTAACAGGTGAGTTTTAGAATGAACAAGTAAAAGATCAATTTGTTACTACCATCTATCTTCCACACAGTATACAAAATAATGTTAGATCAAATTATACCTTTCCCTACATATTCCAGATGCCACATTTACCTTTACTCATCATTCTGTTTTACATTAAGTATTGCAAAAAATGTTCTAGAATTTTCCCTGTCAGGCAGAAACCCCAAGTAGTCCCGTATTAGATAATCAGATCTGTGCCATACCAGCATTCATATCTTTAAACTTTTGCTTTAGCTCAGCAGGAGTAAGACGATACTGATCAAGACCATCATTCCAATAAATTCGGTCCAAGACTTGAAGATCTCCTCCAATCAGCCAATCTCCTTGTTCCATAACCATCTAATGGGAAGAAAAAGAAAATAATTGTCTTAAACAGAAACCAAGAGAACATAAGTAAAAAGAGTTCTCTCACACAAGCTAACTACAGCTGTAAATGTCTACTTTCATCCCAAGGTCAGTGGTAAATCTATTTAGCTTAACAACTGAACTGGGATTGGAAATGCTACAGAATTAAGAGTATATTTTATAATTTCTCAAAGGACTTGTGAAACAACTTACATTTAAAAAAAGACAAACAAAACCAACATGAATAATTACGACTTTTTAAGTAACAATAACATTCTTTCCATTGCTGTTATATGTTGCTTAACAGAAAAATTTTTAACCCTGGGTCACCCTCTATTTTGTGTTCTCCAATTCTAAACAACTAAAATAATGATATAGTTGGACACAAAATCATGCCTTCCAATCTCCAAACCACCTTAAATTTCTTACAACGTCTCTCATCCTCTTTCCCTCAAACTGGGAAGAAGAGACAGTGTTTACTAGGATGCATCTGCTCTCACAAAGCTGCTCAGGCTCACCCTTTTCCCAGGACTGTTTACGCTTATATGCAAACAACGTGCCTAAACTGCTGCAGTCCCTTACTACCTGGTCTTCCTCACAAGAAGGTCCATCCCCATCCACCAAATGACTCATTCAATAAATATTTACTGAGTAATTGCTCTGTGCCAGGGCCACACCAGGTACTGGGAAATGTGGCAGAAAACAAGAGAGAAAGATCTTCCTCTAATGGAGCTTACGTGACAGTGGGGAGAGAGAGAAGAGAAATCAGAGGAGTATCAGCTGGTATCAAATGTTACAGAGAAATAAACAGGGCCATGGAACGCAGTGCCCAGAGGCCTACAGTGAGTAACATGTAAGAAAAAGGAGGCAGTGAAGGTCTCGTTGAGGACGGTGACATTTAACCTGAAACGATGAAAAGGAACCAGTCACAGAAGGAAGTATTTTAGGCAGAGGGGCAACAACCACAAAGTCCTGGCGCAGCAAAGCAGGCTTCTGTCTTTGAACAGGAAGACAAGAGAAGATCAAAAAAGGCTAAGGCAAGGACAGGAGCAGAGGAAGAGTAAGACAGACCAGGAGTAAGAAGACCAGGGCTGGATCACCAAGGCCACAGTCTGGCAACTTGGGTTTTATTCTAATTACAGTGACCAGCTTACTGGAGAGTTTTAAAGAGTAAACCGATATGCTCAGATTTATATTTTTAGACGCCACACTCTGGCTGCTCTCAGGAGAACGGAGGAGAGTGGGTAAGAGATGAAGCAGGATTCCAGCCAGGAGATGAGTCCAAGAGTCTAGCCTTAAAACTGGATAACCTGGATGGTACTGGCGGGAGTGGAGGTGGGACACGGACATCCTGCACAAGACAACCAGGCCAAGAGGTCCTCAACGTACTACCTGGTGATGCTCTCACGCTCCAAACCCGCCCGTGACCCATTCATTCCCAGTCAGCATGTGGTGTAGTAAAAAGAACACCAAAGACCTCAGATGGACTCTCGTCCTGACTCCCAGCTGGTACCTCTGCAGCTCTGGGCAAGTTGAACCCACGGTAAGGTTCTTCAGGATAAACAAAAGCATTTTGTCTACCACCCAGGGTCCCTGTAAGGACCAAAACCCAGAAACGTGGTTTGAAAAACATAACTACATGTAAGTTGGTATAATGACTGAACAAAGTCTTAACATTTTAGGGAAGAATGGTAAGCCCCCCATCTTTCCAAGGCCATCTCTCCCACTCGACAACCAGCTATTTCTGAAACACACTCACTCTCTGCTCCTCCTGCTCCGTAAGCCTGGAGCGCCATAGTTCTCACAGCTCCCTCCAACCCAAACCTCCTGGCGCCTCAGGATGCACACCAGGTGCCAACTAACAGGAAGAAGTCTTACAGATCACTCTTTGAAAAATGGTACAAAATATAAAGAGCACTGACATTCGTTGGGTGATTAAAAAATAAACATCTCTTCTCCCAAATTCATGTGAAAAGTGCCCTGTGGTGGCACAGGCTACGTCGTACATGAAGCTCCACATATACCAGTAATTACTGTCTGCTATGATTATGGAAGATGGATGGCCTCGATGCCCAAAATGATTTGGCTGAAACCAGACCCTCATCTCGCCTCTCAGCTGCATAATTTTGCTTGAGACATTTATCCCCTGTGAGTCTTTCTCCATGTGTGAGACAGACATGCCACCCATCCTACAGGTTTCCTATGTGGCTCGAAGAATTTACATGAGCATGTTTTGGAAACTGTTACCTGTTACTAATAACCATAGGATTTTAATGTTGAAGGAAAGCCTGACACTATCACAAGTTAAACCTCTTTATTTTCTGAGAAAATACATCCTCTATTTTAAAAGGTTTTCACTCGTTTGTCCTTCATGGACAATAAAATGAGACTTAACACATTGCCATGATCTAAACAGATGTTACAGAAATTTTCTAGATAAAGCTACTATAATTTCACTTCATTGCTTTTAATGCTCAGAGTGAACTTTAAAACACCTAACAACTGACAGAAATTTGACTTCCATGATAACATTTCACATATAATACATAAAATGCATGAGGCACTTGGGAGAAACTATATTTCACTGCTTTCATACCGGAAACAAAATGTTCAATTAAAAACCCTGACTAGGTAAAACCACCCTGCCATGGGCTCCCACAGCACCCTGACCTCATGTCCTACTGCACGGGCACGAATGATTACCGTGAGCTCTGCCGCTTAAAGGGAAGGGCTCCAAGGGCATAAAGACCGTGCTTGCCATGCCCATCGCCCCATATTCCCAGCACCAGCATCCAGCTCAGTGCCCAGGGTAGAGCAGATGCTTAAAGAGTTGTTGACCAAATATTTATCTGGACCCAATGACAAGACCAAATGTGCATCACACTAATCTAAGATCCAGTCTGGATTCTGCAAAATATTAACAATTCCAATGGGATAGTCAACAGACAGGTAATGCCCACATTTTCAGCACAAACATTATTTGTAAATCAAGATAAAATGCAGCAATGTCTGTACTGGACCTTGATGTAGGGGTGGTTCTTGCATGTCGTTCCCCACTGTCGGGCACAACGCTCCTCCTTCCTGTGCTCAAAAAACTCAGGGTTGCGAAGAATAGCCACGCGGCGGCCCTCGTATATCAGAGCAAATGCCGTGCAGCCGTCCAGCCTCTCTTTATCTTCCTGAGTAGCTGACAGAACTATAGGCACTGACAAGTTAATCACACCCCCTGCAGGGCACAAAAGAACACACAGCACGGGTTACTCAGCAGGCCTTACGCACCCACCTTTCACTCCTGTGGACCCTCGGAGTGTTCAATTTGTGCCTGGCACAGAAAATCAGGACACGGAACAAGCAACAGAGGTTTAAAAAAAAAAAAACCAGCAGAAATTAAGAAAATCAACAATGTACATAGCAATACTCAAAAGAATTCATGACACTGTCTTTTGGAGAAAAACTATTGTATAGAATCACAGAAGCTTAAAAAAAAACCTGTTTTACAAGGAAAAATCAACTAGTTAAGCCTAACATCACCAAAAACATACTGAATACCTCCCATATATGAGTAAGACAAAGAACTATGATTCAGGAATTTTTCAGGAAAAGTTTAAATCCTTGCTGATAATTACCTTTTGAGTGGCAAGTTGGTTAAGTATACTTGAGTATACTTGGATATCCTTGAGACAAAAAGACACCACCACCCAGAAAGTTTTTTGTTTCTTGGTTTTTAATCAAAACTGAACCAATGTCAGCTATCACTGGCCAAGAAACAAAGGCAGTAAGTAATCTGTGCTCCTTTTAAACCAAAATATGTTCCACTGAGACTAAAGACACATTCTCGGTTCCCAACCTTTCAGGCTCTAAAAGTTTTTTCCCTACTCATTGTGCACAGATTAGAAAAAATGCACTTTCAAATTCCTATGTGGACCTTATTCACATACCAAATAGAAACAATACTTTTGCGGGAAATCATGGCATGAGTTCTTTGATAACTGCTTGACTATTTTAAAATTACCACCACCAGGTATAGTACAAAACAGATAATTAGTATACAGATTTCCACCAAATTCAAGACTAAATTATTATCCAGGATGCAGCCCACAAAGGCTAATTTACCATGAGTCCCGAGGAAGAAAATCAAAAAGCAATATTTAATCCTTATGTTCTCGCAATAAAATTTCTTGAGAAGAATGATTACAAATTACATTTTCTAATACATATTTCACTCCCCCGTTTTAAAAAGTCATAATAACAGAAGGACATGGGAGCAATTTAGTAGGGTTCTGTGACATTTAACAATATTTTCTTTAAGGTAATAAATTAATCTTACTAACAGTATACAAAGTTTAAGGTAGCTAGATTGTAATTACAATATACTGAACATCAATTTCTTTGGCACTTTTTGGTTTTTTGTTTGTTTGTTTGTTTGTTTGTTTGTTTTAGTGTTTTAAAAGAACAGGAAGAACCACCCTTTTAACCACCTGTTTCAGGCCTCCTTACCTTCAGACTCCCCGACGCCCTATTAGAACACCTGGTAAGCGTGAGCTGCGGGAGAGCAAAACTGAGAAAGTATGTGCGCTTTTCGGGGGGATGAAAATGATCAGGTGGAAATGCACAGGGAAACTATTTGTTTTTGAAGTTCATTTTCACTCCTCAGGCTTTCCTTCCATCCCCCCCCCCCACAAATACACCACAACTGGGGAAACGAAATGTGGAAAACAGATCTTACTATCCACGTAAAGTGTCCAGTATTGCTATAACTTAGTCTTCAAATGGTACTACTACTCTATATAAACAGTAATGAATCCCTGCAAAGTGTAATATCTCTTCCACACTCAATGTAGTTTTGAATGTAAAATGTCTTACCATCCAGAAGACAATCAAAGTGAAGACACTGCAAGTACTCCCTCTCTCTCATAAAGCCATTCAGTGGGGTGGCCCACCCTTCTGCCAAAACCTGCACCCACTGCATATCCACCTAGTAAACGAGAAAGGAGAATTTTCTATGTCATGTACTTGTGAACAAAAGCAGTAATGGCCTTCAGGAATTTAATTTTGAAAGTAATGGAAACAAACATCTCAAGACTGATTACAGATTATACAAATCTAATAGAGAATAAGGGCACTAGAAAAATACACATTTCTTCTAATCAGTTTAAATAACATTAGGCCTACAAGCATTTCCAATAAGGATAGCATCTCTCAAATCAGGGGTTCTCCAATGTTAATATGCATAAGAAACTACTGGAAGGCTTGTTAAAATGAAGACTGCTTCACCTCCCAGTTTGTGATTGTTTGCTGTAGTGTACAAGAATTTGTATTTTTAACAGGTTGCAGAGCATAAATGTAAGTGGAGCAAGCTCATTTTTAACTAGGTACTATATAACAGAGGTTCCCAATGAGAAAAGATGAAGCACCTGGCTGAGTGGTATGTAGTAAAATGTTGCTTACTATTTATTTCCAGAGTAGGTTGGCCAACGTGTTCCACTGAAAAATCAAATTCCTCTTCTGCAGTTCACAGAAAAAATTATATTCATGCACCAAATTGTTTCATGTCGAGTTTTCAACTTAGTTGTTTCCTACACCTTTGACCATAGCCACTATTTGTCTATATCAGAATCCAATCTAGACAGTATCTATTATGGACTGAACGTTTATGTCCCCCTGAAAACCATGGCAAACTTCTAACCGCCAATGTGAGTGTATTTGGAGATATGGCCTATGAGGAAGTGATAATGATTAAATGAGGTCATAAGGGTGGGTCCTAATCCAACAGGTTGGCTCCCTCATAAGGAGAAGAAGAAACACCAGAGGTCCCTCTCTCTGCCCTCTGAGGATATCGTTAAAAGGCAGATGTCCTCAATGCCAGAAGAGAGCCTCACCAGAAACCAAGTCAGCCAGCATCTAGACCTTGGACGTTCCAACCTCCAGAACTGTGACAAACTAAATTTCTGCTGTTTAAGTCATTTAGTCTATGATATTTGTTATGGCAGCCCAAGCTAATAATGTTACCTGACTTAACATGAAGTTTTTAATTAATTTTTTTTCATATTGCTGTTAAGAAGAATAAACCATTGCATTGAAGGAAAGTTCACATTTAGAAAAGGGTACTGTCTTTCTGAGTTGTAAAGTCTGACTGACCTGATTCATATTCACTCATTATCATTCTTCTTCTAGTCCAGGTTCTAATTCCTGTCTGTTTTTAGAGTGTACCTAACGATATGATTTAAAATTCTCTATTTGAAACATAAATTATAATCTCTGCTGTCATCATATCTAGTTTAAGCTGTTTTTTATTGGGAAAATACCTAATAATATCATTAGAGCTAAGATATACAACAGAAATATTCTTCGCAATATAAGAAGGGGAAGAGTCAGAGTTTAGTTAGGGGAATTAGAAAATATGTTTAAAGCAAAGAAGAAAAAAATCATTTTTAAATTGATTATTAATTTTCAATTAATTATTACAGATTAGTATTCCTCAACCTTTTAGAACCCAGGTATTCTGATAAGCCTAAAAATCTTGTACAATCTTTGTTCTTAGATGTTTAAAAATAAATAAATAGTATGACTAAAAGAAAATCAAAGCCATAGTATTTTGGAAATATGGTTTTACAAATCAGACACATCTCCCACCCTGGAAATTGAGATATACACCACAGTTAACCGCGCCCTCAAACACAACAACAAAGCTACAACTTTTACAGACCAGTGATTATTTATAAGGCAACAAAGCACTTACTTTATTAATTTTCAATGCTGGTAATGTTTCTGCATCTGTTTTTGCCAAATGAAGTTTATTTTCTGGCACATACAGTTCTTTTACTTCATAAGAGGCATCTACAGGTACAATATCCTATAGAAAAACAAAAGTACAAATAAACATTTGATTCAACAATTTACAGTTCTTCAAAAGGTATCTTAAAGAAGACAATAAAAATGTCAAAATAAGACTTAAAAAAGTATAAAAGAGGGATCTGAATGCTGTCCCTGCCCAGTCAATTTTCCAAGTGTCAGGTGGCCTACTTTCAAGCACATAAACTCCCCCATACAAAAAGTCATTACACATAATGTCTCATCTAGTGAGAAAGAAATTCCTAGAATGTACCATAGATGTCAAAATCAAGCAACTACAGAGAAGACATGACCTTGAAAAGGTAATGATAAAAACAATTTGAAAACAAGCCCCGCCGCCCCCAATAAAACCACTCCAAACATAATCATTATCTTCAGCGTGTCACAAAACCACTTCACTTAAGTCACCTTTTCAGTGATCAACACAGTACTCCAGAGCATGCCAGCCTTGCTCCCACCACTGCAGGCTTGAGAAACAACACTTTGGATCCCATATGAAAAGCAGTCTGGAAATTATATGCAAACTGCAAGCACTCACTCACACAACACTGGGACAGCGCTCATCCCCATTTATCCTTCGGGAATCTATTTGTGATTACCGCAACACAGACACTCACATGCTGCTCACCAGGTGACTGTTACAAGGCTTGCTCACGTGTGTCATACTCCTAGGAATAATTACTAAATGTATTCAATTACCTTAAAATTTTTAAGCCAAATCTATCAAGTAATCTCAATAAGCATATAAAACTTGCACTGATTAACAGCTTTTCATACATCTCATCCAAGCAATACTTTGTTATTCAAAATAAAGTAATTCTCAAGAGAATGAGAAGACAAGCCATATACTAGGAGAAAATATTTGCAAAATGTGTATCTGGAAAAGGACTGTTACCCAATATACACAAAGAACTCTTAAAACTCAACAATAAGAAAACCTGATCAAAAAATAGGCCAAAGATCAGAACAGACACCTCACCAAAGAAGATAGAGAGCTAACAAATAAGTATATAAAACAATGCCCTACATCATATGTCATCGGAGAAATGCAATTTAAAACCACTACAGACCTATTACAGTGGCCAAAATCTGAAACACTGACAATACGGAAAACTAGTGAAAATACAGAGCAACAGAAACTCTCCCTCACTGTTGGTGAGAATGCAAAACAGTGCAGAAACCTTGGAAGACAATTTGGTGGTTCCTTACAAAACTAAATAAACCCTTACTGTATACAATCCAGCAACCACGCTCCTGGGTATTTATCAAAATAAGTTGAAAACCTATGTTCACACAAAAACCTGCACACAGATATTGATAGCAGCCTTATTCATATTTGTCAAAACTTTGAAACAACTGAGAAGTCCTTCAGCAGACAAATGAATAAACTGTGGTAGATCTAGATAATGGGATACTGAAGAAATGAGCAAGGAAGCCATGAAAAGGCATGTTGGAAAAAGGAGCCAATCTGAAAAGGCTACATATGATATAACTCTAACTACGTGACATTCTGGAAAAGACAAACTAGGGAGATAGTAAAAAAAGCAACGGTGGCCAGGCTTGGGGGTGAGGGTGGAGGGCGGGGTGAACAGGCAGAGCACTGAGGATTTTCTAGGGCAGTCAAACTATTCTGTGTGATACTATAATGGCAGATACATTTGTCAAAAACCCACAGAATGTACAATCCTGATGTAAACTAAATTATGGGTGACAAAGATGTGTCATGAGGTCCATCGACTGTAACAAATGTACCAGTCTGGTGACGGATATTGACAGCTGGAGAGGAGGGCTAAAACTGCTCCAGGAAGTCCACAAAATATATAAAACAACAGGGCACCGAGGCGGAGAACGTATCCCTGAGCTGCACTACCATGGCTGCCTGTGCTGGCAGCGCCACCCAGCGGGGGCCTGCGGTATGCGGAGTACTCGCCACCCTCAACCAAACAGCTGGACGCGGACATCGACCAGGGACTGGCAAGAGGCTTCATAGCTGTAGGACTGGGTGTTGCAACTTCGCATTTGCAGGTCACTATGTGTTTCAGATCCGAAAACCTCTAGAACAAGTAATCACAGAAACTACAAAGAAGATTTCAACTTCTAACATTTCATCCTACTATAAAGGAGGATTTGAAGATAAAATGAGTAGGCAAGAAGCTAGTCTTATTTTGGATGTAAAGCCCATCTGCTAGAAAGGCCAAGATAAGAACTGCTCAGAGAAGAATTATGATTTTGAATCACCCAGATAAAAGCAATTTCCATAGGCTTCAAATGGTTGGGGTTTTTAAATAGTTTTCACTAATTTCTGGGGAAGAGAACAGTGGAACTCCTCATTCCAGAAGTCAGACTCCTATCTGCCTCCACATGATCGTAACATCTTTCTTTTTAGAAAGATAATGGGGAAGGGAGAGAAAGAGATGGAGAGAAATAATGATCAGTTGCCTCGACCAGGAACCAAACCCGCAACCCAGGCATGTGCCCTGAACCAGGAATCTAACCAACGACCCTTTGCTCTGAGGGACAACACCCAACCAACTGAGCCACACCAGTCAAGGCCTCGTTGTGCCAGTACCACAGATTTTTAATTTGCATAGCCTATTAATTTGCAATACTTGTTAATTTTATAACAAGTATTTTTTTTCTGGTGGAACTCCATACTTAGCAACCAAAATAAATGAAGCAAAAGACTTTCTAGAAGAAACCACCAAACACTGATTGATGCTCAAGAACTGCTCTGAAGGAAAAAAGTGGGAAGGGGTTTAAAAACAAAGTCCAACAAATTTAATCAAAACCACCACCGCCACAATTTTCATACACATGCTAATGATCAATAATAATTTATTCCACTGTTAAGTGGTATAATAATAAAAGGTTAATAATCAATCAAAAAATATAAAACAATAACAAAAGAAGGTTATTCAAAATAAGTATTAATGAAAGAACCAGGTTTTTAAGGACACTCCCTACTATTTTTCCTGAGGAATAAGTTTGGGAAGAAACCTCAACTTATATTTGGTCTTACATTAATACCTTCCACAGAGGAAAACAGCAGAGACAGACATGCATGTCAAGGCTTGATGATCTCATGGAAGGTCTGGTGTCATTGCTAAGGCAGTCCCTGTGGTTCTGAGAATCTAGAAACAATTATTCCACATTTCTCCAACTCTCTCTTTCCTCAAAGGTGGAACAAAAGAGAGACAGTTTGGCACTGCCTACATCATGTGCCAAAAACAGGCTCATCCTACAGGTACATTCAAGACCTCTGAAGTTTCTCATCCTAAACCCAAGAATCAACAAGGAGGATAAACATGAAGGAAAAGGAAAAGAAAAGAAATAATAAAAATTAAAAGATAGAAGAGAAATAAGGAAACACCGCTTGCTGCCATACGGAGGTCAGCCAGCGAGGCTGCTCCTGGAGCAGAGACACGAAGGGCGCTTTCTGGCGGTCCCGTGGTGTCCCTTGAGTACCTGCCCTACTGCTCACAGGAGGAAAGTAGTCAAGTATGTGTGTGAAGCACAAATCCCGCACAGCATAGGACACTTCATAAACCTTCCAGACCATCTTTTTCAATTAAGCATCCAGCAATCACCCACAGCGGAAGAAGGTATTTGTTGTCTTTACGGACGGTCAAGACCAAATTGGGGCCTTAGAGAACAATGGCGAAGGCAGGAGGACGGCTTCCACCAGCTGCCTCTCTTCTCTTTGCAGACGTAAATACAACTTTGTATGAATGAGGTAGATTATCTCCATGAACGTAACTGAAGTGGACATGTCTTGAACTTTTCTGAGGGGGATCAAAGAAGTGATAAGTAAATATAACCAATTTATACATAATACTTGATTTCACTGTGCATGTGAAGACTCTTTCTTTATATCTAACGAGAAACAGATTAACTTCACATAGCCCATTCTGTGCCTCCTAACTCCAGGAATTATTTTAATACATTATATTTAATACATTAATACATGTGTTTTAATACATTTAATACACTTTTAAGGTAGAAAATAGCAGTTAAGAGAATTTGGAAATGAGAAAAACAAATCACCCTATATATGGTTATTATCATTTTTGTATATTCCCTTCCAACTGCTTTCCACCCACAGGCACATTTCAGGGAAATTAATAGTTTCAGCAGTCCATACAAAGCCTCTTACTTCATCAACTAGAAAATAAAAATTCAGAATCAACTTTTCCCAGAACAATAATGTAATGTGCATTAAGTGAACTGAATACACACCCTGTATGTTCAATTAGCTTCTTGGATCTGTAAAGCTGACATACACATTTTTCCAGTCGCAAAATAAAGAATTAAAATCTGCCAGACAAAAAGTCTGACATTCATTAGGACTTTTGTGAGAAAGGGTATGACAAAACAGACTTAAACTTAAATATTTACATTAATCACAAAACATTAGGGACATATCATCAGTTCTACCTATGGAGGTACAAACTATTTGCTAGTCTCCTTTTACAGAGGACAATGAGGCTCGGGAAAAGGGTTATTAACTTGTCCCAAATCCTGGCTACGCTGCCTTCCACTGCAGTTAACACACAATAAATACTCAATAAATAGTAATTATAGTTTGCTTGCTTGCTACATGCCAGGAACATTTCTAAGCACTTGACACATTAACTCATAGAGTCATCAGTACAATTCTGAAGCAGGCAGGCACTATTATTTTTTCCCATTTTACAGAAGGCAGAATGGTAACCACAGATAGCAGGTTATTTTCTGAGGTGTAGAGTTAATTGGTAAGTGCTGGAACTGAGGTCTCAATACTACTCTCCTCCAAAACAAAACGAACAAAAAAATCCTTTATTGTTTCTCCCATGAAAACTAAGTTATGAAACATTTTGTCACCCAAGTTGTTCTTAGTTTATTTTCAAGAGTTTATTAAACATTTACAATTCCAGCATTTCCAGTCTGCATGTGATGTTTCTGTGTTGATAAAGTTCTTGACAAAAAGTAAAGATACTCAACATTTTAGATAGGCCTAAACAT